CTGCTGCCTGGAGGGGTGAAGAGGTAGGAAGCCTGAGTGCTCAAGATTATTGAGGGTGTGGGTTATTGAGGGTCTTGTTGCCTGTACCCCTTATTCTTCCTTCTCCTTCCCCAGGGCCACTGGGGATAAGAGATAGGATGCTCTGACAACATCTTCAATTATGAAACTAATCTTAACCCTGTGCTGTCAGATATCCTATTTCTGGAGTCACATCAATAGGGGAGGGAAGTAAGCAAGGGAGGGTGCTGTGGCCCTGTGGGTGGAGAAGGGAGGGTAGCAAGAAAAAGAGGAGCAGCACTTGTAGCCTCAAGGAAAAAGAGGACATATCTGGAGTGGAGGAGTTAGGGAGAGAGAAAGAAGCAGGGAGATAAATTGGAATGGGGGTTGGTCAGGGCTGCCTTTGCCTCTAGTCCCCAAGGCCTCTCTCTGCCTGAAATGTTACACATTAAACAGGATTTTACAGTAAATGAAGGGGTGGCTTGTGTGTTTGTCAAGTTCTTTCTCCTGTAACCTCTGACCTTTCTTGGCTGAGCTGGACTTGGCTTTTGCTGATCAAGAAAGGAATGGGTGGCAGAAAACAGTGATTTGAGGAGCTGAAGCTGCAAATGATAAACCGCAGCCCTACTGGCCCGCAAAGCCAGCCCCTGAGCTGTTCTCCCCTGAGTTCTGTTGTTTTGTCTTTTGGGGTTTTCCCCCCCATTTTTAATAACATCTTTATTGGGATCTAATTCACTTACTCCCTTCCTCTGATTCTATTTAATTTTTTATCCATTTTAAGTATAAGGTTTTTTGAGTTCTGATAATTGTGTGCAGTTTTATAAATGTGACCACAATATATTAGAAAACAGAAATATCTCAAAAAGTTTCCTTGGGCCCCGTCCTCTGAATTTGAAAATATTAAAATGACAACACCCTCTGGGGACACAGGAAATGATAGAGAAATTTCACAGCTCTTAGAGAGGAGCACACATTCCCTCCATACCTTGGTGAAGGCCCCTCCTCTGTACTCCTGGGAGAAATAGTCCCCTTTCTCCCTTGAAATTCAGCATTCTTGGCAAACTAGTACCCCACAAGCCACCTATCCAATTATGCAGTGACTTTGACCCCTTTCCTTGGGACCTAGCCCCTAATTCTTCCCTCCTCCCCAGTTTCCTTCCCCCAGAGATCAATGCCACCCACCCCAGAGATGACTCCACCCCAGGTCAAATATTGCATAGCAACAGTTTCCTCACCAGCATGGCATCACTCTCCAAAGCAGCAAGTAGCCTCCCCTTCCCCTGTCAGCTGTGGTGGGAAAAGGCTCAGGCAGGGACTTGACCTAGCAGTGTTCCAGTCCAGCTTCTGTCACTTATTAGCAAGGTGTTCCCTTCTCCAAGTCTCAGTTTCCTTGAGCAAATAGAGCTGGCTTCACACATCTCTGAGCTCCCTTTAACACTCTGTGCCTCTGGGATTCTTAAAAGTCTTCTCCAGTCTCAAGGAGGGGGGGAGTCCCCTCTCAGAATCGCCGCCCTCACCAATGGCCCCTCACAGTAAAGTTCCCCCCCACAGCAAATTTCTCTCCTCAGCTTTCCTACCTCCTAACAGAAAAAAAGGTTTTGCCACTCCCTCTCAGAATGTGCTGGCTCCCCGTGGGAAGAACAGAAGGAAAGAGAAAATCAGGCATAATCTTATCAGAATTGCTCTCCTCTAGAAACAGTCTCTCCTTCCTACAGAAAGCATGAAAGCTTTCTTCATTCGAGGCTGTTTCTCCTTCAGAAAGGAAAAGAAAGAGTAAGTGGTCATTTCCCCCATAGTCAGCAATCCGAGAGAGAGCTTCCTCCTCTCTTAAAAGAGATACATCCCTTTCCTGCAAGAAATTTCCTTTCTCCTTAGAAACCGACATCATACCCTGTCAGAGGAGAGGTCTACACCCCCTCACGGTGGGAGGGATTATTTTTCTTCTTGAAATCGATCTGCCCCTCACCCATAACACAACACAACACACATAGAGCATCTACTCTCTTCCCAAAAGGCCATCAAAAGAAAGATTTTTCTTTTTTCCACAAATAAACTTCATGCCCTCCCCGCACTGAGGAATGCTAAATACATCATCACCTCAGAAATCTCCTTTCTTTTAAAAAAAATTCTACAAATTCTCTTTGAAAGAGGCACCAACTCCAGATCCAGGCTTTCCTCTCCAGGGGGCAGTGGTGGGACAGAAAAGCTATCCAGCTGGTGTTACAACCAAAAGGAGGACACTTAACTCTTGTGTCCTGAACCAGGTGGGAGTAGGCCAAAGGAAGCTTGAGTAGAGCCGGTGTACACACGTCACAGGGAGGGAGGGAGGAGGAAGAGTAGGGGTAACCCCGGGACTGACTTTTTTTAAAATATATTTTTATTGATTTCAGAGAGGAAGGAAGAGGGAGAGACAGAAACACCAATGATGAGAGAGAATCATTGATTGGCTACCTGGGAATCGAGCCTGCAACCTGGGTATGTGCCCTTGACCAGAATTGAACCCTGGACCCTTCAGTCCGCAGGCTGACGCTCTATCCACTGAGACAAACCAGCCAGGGCCTGGGCCTGACTTTTTTATTTGAGGCTTTGGTCACAAGAGTGTAAGGGAGAAACAGGAGGCAAATGGGGCTTAATACCTGCCACACAGGAAACAATGTATTGAGTGATTAGGGTAGTGAAGAGGACTTTGGAATCAGGAGACCTTGGTTTCCATTTATTGGACACGTAATACCCTCTCTCAGTCTCAGTTTCCTCATCTGCAATATAGGGTTGATAATAACCTTTCTACTTCTTTCTCTGAGCTTCTGTGAGAATCAAACAAGATGTGTTCAAAAGTTGGTTATAAAATGTAAAGTAAGGTAAGATCGTATCAGAACCATAAGACCACAGCCTTAAGGCATGCTAAAACTTGCAATGAACCAGAAAGGACTGAGGCTAGTTCAGCTAAGCTAGATTAGTGGAAAGAACTTGGCAATAATAGGATTGGCTCCCCCAGGGAACGGCCAGCAGTCCAAATAGCAAAGTCCAAGAGATGTTGCAAGCTTCCCTTGAGCATGATTCATCTAAGGGTCAATATTTAAGGGGTCTGAAAGGTGGCAGAAAAGGCCTAATAACAAGAGTTACTGACACACTCTCGAGCATGGTACTGGGGCTTTTAGGGATATTTATGATCTTTTAGACTTAGAGGCATCTATGTGCAGAGCTGCCAGGAGCTGGGGGCAAAGGGACAGTCAGCTCTTGGATGAAGGGACAGGCTGAACTAGGAGAGTAATCAAGTTTCCAGCCAGCTGAAATGGGATTTCAAAGCAGGCTGAGGTATCCATAGAGAATTGGCATGGCAACCATGAACTGATTCAGAGACCCAATCAGATAGCCTGGGTACACACAGTGGCAGCTAGATGGAAATGCCTGCCTGTTCCATTTACTGATTCCATAATACTTCAATGCCAAGCCTAACCTATGGTAGAGAAGGGGCTATAAATACCCACCAAGCTAGACCCCTTTGATTCCTGGACTAGGCCAGGCAGAACCTGTCAGGTGGGAATATGATTGCGCCATTGTAGGGAAGGAAAATAAAGCGGGCAAAAATCACACCATATCTTCAGATTTAGGCTAATAATCTGCTGTGGAAGGTTTAAGGAATGGAATAGCTAGAGGTGAGGTGGGAAAGATAAACTATGATCAGCTTATTATGGGCCTTATATGTCACTATAAGGAGTTGAGACTGTCCTATAGGTAGTGGAAACCATTGAAGGTTATGAGTGGGGTAGTGCCAGTTTCAGATATATGATTTGGGAGTTCACTCGGGCAGCCACACAGAAAGTAGATTAGGTATTGGGAAGAGAAGAGGCAGAATGGCCAGCTATGTATAGTCTAGGCAGGGCCCATAAAACTAGGACAGTTGTAGAAGGAATAGGAGAAGACAGATGTGAGAGACACTTTGTAGAATCTACAATAGGACTTGATGTCTGAGTGTGGGGAGATGGAGGAGCCAAAGATAATTTGGACATTTCCTTCCCCTTCTTTGAGGGCAAATATCTAATCGTTCAAGACAGCTCAAAAGTCATTTACTATGTGAAGCTTTCAACTCTCTCCTCCTTGCCAACCCTTCCCAGTCCTTTGGCAAGAATGAGTCTCCCTTCCCTTCTGAATTTCTGCCATACATTGTAGTGTATGTTGATTAGAGTGCTTATCAAATTGTGTGGCAATCACTTGCATAACCTTAACATACAGGAGGTGCTTAGCTTGTTCAATTAAGGGCAGTAGGGACAGAATACAGGCATGTGCTTAGGTTCAGCATCTTGAAAGAGTAGTGTGTGCTCAGTGTGATTAGAACAGAGAATGCATGGGATTTGGTGGAGGTCGTAGTAGGAGGTGAGGCTGGCAAAGTAGATTGGGGCCAGTTTGTGAAGGTGAAACCGGACAACCAATGGGTCCAGGCTGCCTGTCACTACTTGAGCCAATTCAACAGAGACAGGGTTAAATCATATATGAGCATTTATTCCAGTAATGCCAGCATTATGGGAGAGCAGCAGGTCACCCAAGAAAATCTGCTCTACACCCCACCATAAACCAGCTGCTTATATTTGATAGAATGATGATTACATGGGTAAGTAGGAATTACAGGCATCTGGAAGTAGGCAATGGGGGCTGGGGCGGGATTCCATTGTTTGGGCAACAAGGTTGTTAATCTTTCCATGATAATAGGCAGTTCTTGAATGGGAATGGACCCCATTCCAAGGTTGACTCCCAGGTCCAAGGTTGACTGTCAGGCCCCAGGGCTGTACAACTCCCAGCCAGGTTAGAATGTCCTTTCTTTAATCAGAACAAGGCAATTACAATTAACCAAGCATGATTAATATTTCTTATAACAATAGCTAGTCTCCAATATTCTATTTTTGCCCCTAACAAAGGGACTCATATAATGTGCATGGAAGTTTGCACAGGAGTTTGAACTCTCAACTATCACATGTAGCAACTCT